TCTTAACGAATAAGTGATGACAGTGTCTGTGAGATAGCAGATGACGCTTATTTTTGTTCTTGATCCCATTTGTGAATTAATTTTTTATTGGTGGTTGGGCATTCTTATTCATAATAAGTACCAACTAAAGAATTTCAATTTTAATGAATTTGGCAAGACGTTATTCCAGTTTTATGGGACATTGAGGTGCGTTTAAAGAGTATATTTGAAGCACACTGTAATATCGTTGAAATCAGTTCAACTCATGATAAAAAATTTGGAACGATGACCAAGTATTTATAGCAAATATTTTCCACATTTATATATATTGTGCTTCAAATGCTTTTTAAAGTGTTCTTCATATAAGGGTTGGTGAAATGTCATCTCTTTATAATCATACTGTGTGTGATTCGTATATCAATATTGTAAGTTGATATATTTTTTCAACGTGAGCATTTGTTTGAAAATGCATCGTGACTAAAAAAGTGGTCGATTTAATATATAATTATCAATACCCTATTTATTATTTAAACATATTTAGCTAACGTACCTTTATTCTCATATGTAGCAGTAAGTAAACTGCAGTGATTTTTGTCAGATAATTCGACAACAATTCTTATAAAGTTTGTATACGATGTTTATTGCGTAGCACAATTTTTTTTTTAATTATCTGGTAAAAATTGTTTGCGTGGACTGAATTCGGGATATATTAACCTGACTGCTTTCTTAATTCAATTTTCATGTTCATTAAAATAAAAGCCGGATAAAATATAGAACTTTGATGGAAGTTTTGGAATTTTGCTTGGATGAGACTAAGCTCCGGTATACTGAGCGGTTTCCGCTTAATCAAAGCGCACCGAAATGCGTTTATGAATATTTTTGATCAATTTGATGTCGACCACTTATGCTTTCATTATAAGTACTAATTGTTATCCGGTATTTTTCCCATTACAAATGACAAAAATCACTGTTGCAATATCGGTTTTGTTTCTCTCATTTAGGTATTCCAGTGGCAATTATTTTTGTGAATATAATTACGACATTTTGATTGATAGGTTTTATTATTCGAAAATACAAATTGGGTTCCATCTTTAAATCTTTAAACGATTACATTAAAAAAAAATTAAAACACTGAGGTTTTTACAGAAGGGCGTGCCCACTTCTTCCTAAATAATATGAACATTTTATTTAAAATTGCTGCTGAACACCGAACAGTACTTATGCGACATAGTTTACGCCAAGATTATATGTATTGTGTATTACTAATAGTCCAATGTCATAGTTTGTATTTTATTTATATTATTTGTACTATTTTTAATACATAAATATTTATCTGCATCGTAATTTTGGATAATTTGTTATATTGATATTCAGTCCATAGGACAAAATTGCGTCATTTATCACTCATAGCTATGAGTTCTATTATCTTATACATATTTATTATACAGGTATAGTCAATTGAGCTTTCCCAGTGTTAAATTATGGTTTAGTTGATAAATGTTTAATCACGATTTATATAAAGATGTAATAAGTTGAATCTAATGGAATTTTCACGTTCAACACAAATGGTTATGTTTGTTTATTGTTTTGCTGGGTAAATTGACTTTTGTCTAATTGTTTAGGTAGCAAATGGCTAAAATTGACAAGATCCATTGTTTCGCAACATTCACTTTACGTTGTTAATGTATCATTTTATGCCATGTGATTTTCTGATTGGAAAAGGTTTTCCATTGTTTGCATCAAAACTATAATAATGTGTTTAATTGTGTTCTATTATGTGATTCTTTATAATTATTAAGCAAATCAAATTCTGTAATTATTTAGACATACAATTTACTGCTTTTGCAAGAAGTCTCACTTTCCAAAGAGTTCCTTCAATCATATGCAGTACATGTTGATTCTGCATGGGAGGTCATAATTGAGTGCTACGATTTCTATTACGAACTAATATAGACTTGACTGCTTACGTTGCCAATAGCTGATTTCGTAAGGGTCTTAATAATGCAAAATATTATCTTAAATCGCCGATCACATCAATGCAACTTTAATAAAACATTGACTAATTTTATTTAAAAAATGCTTTTCATCAAATTACTTTTTCAAATTTTGTTTTAATCCGAGGTAGTGGCTTGTTAATATATTGGGTGAATGAATAAGTCGCTTGGTTCAAATGATAAATTGTTCAGTGATGGTATCGAGTTGAGCATAATCTAGGTGTGTTTTAACCCGTTTTAACCCTTTAAATGTGACCGATGTCCGACTTTTTCCACCTGCAATTCCGTTGATGCATTTTTATGTCTCGTTATCTGATGATGATTATATATTATAATTAACCGAATCGCGTCGTGTATGTTAAATAAATTTATAGTGGACTCCAAGCGACTCTTCATTGATTCACCCAGTAAATTACTTTCTGTTTAGACATTAGAACTTGGTTCTTGAATTGTTTTGCTGGTACGTTTTTACATTGTTAAATATTGTATTATTATTACTATTAAAGGCATTTTATTATAATATTTCACACCAGGATACTGTAATCGTAGAACATGGCTTAGTTGCGCCTCTTTATGACTTTACACCAGTATAAGTGCTGTATTTTACTTCAATAGCTACCATCCCCATGTTTGCCATCGCAGTAATTTTATTAGTCATTTATGGCAACCAGTTTGATATATCATGTTGCACATGTGGTTATTTACATCCTATTTTATATTGATTACATTAATCACTAATGTATTTTAATCTTGGTGGAAGTATATTATATTATTATACTCTGAATGCATTAATAAATGTTATAATCTCAATGAATACTTTCCATAGTTTTTTTTATTACACCCATAATGGTATAATTTGCACCAATAAACAAAGTCAATATAATCATGTTTATTCGACAGTAACTGGCTTTCCTGACAAAGGACCAAAAACATACACAGTGAGACAAATATGTATAGAGTGTTTCAACTTCGAAGCCGACCATTAATATAAAATACCATAAGAGGGTAACGAGCACTAATGGTGTTGGTTTAACTAAGCTAAAAGAATAATGAGACCGCTAAGCGGAATTTATACAAATGAATTAGAGAAAAGTTGGGGTAGCGTTTTTTGCCCAATATGCATATTTGCTGTTTTATTTATAAAAGAGGAATATTTTCAACTGGTATTCAATTCTCGATTTTTATCAACCTTTTTTATAAACATGCAAAATGTGATATATTTCATTTTTCGTGTTAAAATGTACTTAAAGGGTTTTTTTAACAGGTCTGCTTGTATTCGTTTATAGTCCAGTTTTGGAATTATTGAATTAATATTACCTAAAATATGAATTGGATTAAACAGACATTCAAGATTCCGCATCCCTTTTACTACACATACAAAATTAAAGTTGAAAATATCTGTTTGTATCAGAGAATATTTTAAAGATGTTTTTAAATGCAGCATGTGTCCCGAAAGTTCGGAATGCTTTAGTAATTTTTTTACAAGGAATATCCTATAATTTTCGGATTGGTTAGGACTTATCACTCACATTCTACAGACCTGTGTATATTGCTAAAATATTATCCTATTTTCTTTAATTGTAATTATTAAATTAAATTAAATAAATTTAATTTTTAACCAACTGAATTGAAAAAAAATTGAATGACATAAAAAAAGCAAATTACTAATAACTAGGGCTTTGTGGTTTAATGCACAACGATTACCGTAAACGTATATTCTACTTGGTCTTCTAAACTAAGTGGAAATCTTAAAATGTGGCTTCATAATTGCTGCCATTTTTAGTCTATATTTTCAATTGAACACCCTGTTTATTTTCTGCCCCATGGGATCCAGAAATACAGGAAGTTTTTTGAAACACAATGTAGCATGTAGCACCCCCACTTTTACAAAGCACTGCGTACATTTAAAAACATGTTTGCAATAATCTCTGAGTTACTTTTTTTAGATAAAGTGTAGGTGTAGACGAAAAGCGAGCTGAGGTTCTGGAACCTCTACAGGGTGGCTCACCTTATTCGAGACAACGAGCACGTACGTCCAATTCAAATTTTCAGATGTTCACTTATGTAGTTTTGAGTGGGTCACATTTCAAAATTAGATTAAGCTATACAGCGTGCCAAAAAATACGCATATCACACAAATGAATTTTTAAAAGGAACTCCCTATATGTGCTTACCATATCTAATTCCATAGAAAAAATAACAAGTAACTTTCAATCAGGTTAAAACAGAAAATATGAACTTTTTTCATATAATGATACTAACTAATGAAACAATCGTTTTTTACTTAATGCAAATTATCYTTTTTTTTCCTTAACAAAACGTCAAAAACTTAGGTTTCATAATTAATTAATTTAACTCAAATTTCTCAATTATTTTAATCCGCCGTACAGTTTCTGTTTTTTCTTCTAACTCTTTAGGAGAAWCMAATTTGTCCTCACTGGTTAAGAAACATTTTGAACACTTAATTTATTAGTCGTTTATTCATCAAATTTTGCAATTCTTATTACTATTGCCTTTGCAACTGATTTGTTAAATTTAAACTTACAGACACTCATAATGAAATACTACTTATTCTCTTATGAAGTAACGAATCTAAATGTTTGCCTTTAAACATTCGTATAGAAAATCTCAATTTTCCGAAAAGCGACTAATTTAAGAAATAATATACATAAATGTTTTTAAAAAACTAAATTTTATGTCATAAATTATGCATAGTGAATAATACATTTTTCATAATTGGCTTTTACTTTAACAATTGATTAAAAAGGAAAGATAAATAATAAATTTAATTAAACCTACCTTTAATTTTCTTAATAAAATTTAATGATTACCTAT